TGGTACCTTATTTTGTAAAACCAGGGAAACTGGCTCCTGATGTTGGCCGTGGAGGTCCTTTGGCTTTCCATGCCCCACGGTATCGCCAGGAATTGCCATGCCCACTGGGGTTTGCCCTAGTGAGGAGCCTTGCTCACCCATCGAAAGTGCAGAGAGGAGTTTGCCGGTAACTGAAACGGACTTGAACAGTCGTAGAAGAATCACACACCCATCCCAGCCCTCTGCAAAGCCGCCCATCACACCATCCTGTCCTGGCTCGAGTATGATGATGCCACCTCCCATTTACAGTGCAACTGAGTGTTTCACACTCCATTCCATCAAAATGGTATTTTCTTTTTAAGCTTTCCATAGGGAACCTGACATAACCCCCATCCCCTGATGCCGAGGCTGTGGTTCTGTCTTCCACCCCTCTCCAACAGGAACGAAGGAATGGCTCAGTCTCCTGCTGTGTGTAACATCAACTCTTCCTCATGGTGCAGCTACTGCAAAGCTTTCTCCTTCTGTGCTCTTGAATCTGCTCCTGTTGCACACACAGCTTCTGGGGTGTGCATTGTCAGGCACTCTATATTGAGGTGACTTCACTCCCTCTTTGCAGTAGATAAAGGTGCTAAAACTACATGCAAAGGAGAAAAAAAGGCATACGACGGTATGCTGCACAAGGTGCGAGCCAGCTCTGTGGAACCAGTTCCTTGGGTCACACTCAGCATTTTTTAGAATGAGACAAACCCTGATGGGATGCGGCTGTGGAGGCAGTTGAGGCAAGCTCTTTCTCCCAGGAGGTCATGAGGCCACACAGAATTTTTAGCCAAGCAAAGCGGCTCCATTGCCAGCTGAGGGGCCCTGTGGTACAAGCAGTGCCACCCACAGCATCGGCTGGGTCAGAGGATGCTCCCCTCTTCTGGGGACAAGGGGCTGGTGCTGCCTCCTGTGGCAGAGCCAATGTGTCAGAGTCCCAGGGTCTGCAGAGCCTCTTTAGCACTTGTCCAGCCCGAGGTGAACATGACACATGTCATGAGGTCATTACTGTGATGGCACAGGAACTGTTGGATTTTTTTGGGGGGTGGGGAGGGTGGTTTGCACAGTGAATGGGTCGGGAAACACATTTGCCTCCACTGGGTGCAAACATGAAGGTTGCTTCAAATAAGGTTTCAAAAAGATCCAGCAATCCAGGTCCTGTCTGTCAAATTCAGAAAGGAGTTGGAGATGTTTCTGAAGGAGAAGAAAATACCAAGACACAGGCACTATATATAGACGTCCGTGTGAAGGTGGCGACGTTGGAGTGCAGTGTATTTTTATCCCAATAGAGGTGTTATCTGTCTATCTCCCATGAAATGCTGGAGGGGGGTGTTACAGCACTCACTTCATGCAAAGAGAAAATAGCCAAAGTCACAGTTAAATTTGTGTGGTCTGTGTTTTCCAAAGGCAAGCTGTCATACTCGGAATTTTTCTCCTCTGGCTCACTGCCCTGTATTTGTTGCATGACAAAGTTCATCATCCAAGTAGCTGTTTAGTGGCCTGGATGGATTTTTGCCACGTGTAGGGTACAGTTTAGGTCTGCTACTCATAAGAGAAGTACGGGAGCTTTGTGTATACCTCAGCACACATGGTCTTTCTGTTCTCTCACCAGCGGCAAAGCCGTGTTTAGCGTACGTTGGGGCTGAAGCCAGATAAGAAGGATGCTTCAGCACAAGACGTAACCACATCTGGCGCATGCCAGGGGCGGTTCCTAAGAGTTCAAAGGCTTCAGCGTAGATTATTTACGCATTCACCTCCTAGCAAATCCTTTTATTCTTGAATTCCAGACAGTGTATTATGCAGAGAGCCTGAAAATCCAAAGACTTGTCCTCTCTGCATAGATGTTAAAGATCTTAAAACCTGGCCAGACATCCCGGGAGCAGGCACTGGGCAGTGCCCGTGGCCCTTGTGCAGCACCAGTTGTGCAGAGGCACAGCTGGTACAGATGTGCACAAACCCAGACTGGGCCCACCCCGTGTTAGCACGTGCATTCAAAAATGATTTACATGCTAGCAAATAAGAAATAGTTTGGGATGGCTGTACCTAGAATATTCCCTGGGGTTTGAGGACTGGCTCTGTGAAATTCCTGACTGAAAACTGAGTATTGTGTTACTGCTAATTCAGCAGCTCTGCTGGGGGCTGCTCGCACTTCCCCCTCGGAATGACGGGAGTTCTTGGCTTGCTTGGTGACGAGGGGATTTATTTTGTTTGTCTTCATGGATGCTCATGAGGATGAAGAGAACAAGCTGGCAAGGAAACATCTCTGCTGAGAAGAGAAACTTTGATCAAACTTGTGATTTTCTCAGCTCCATGGAGTAAAGGAAGTTTATTTATGGAACGGCTTCTATGGTAAACACAAAACACGTCCTGTATCCCGCTTTTGATGGCGTATCTGGCTGCAGTGCAGCATGGTGCACATTAACTTTATTTGCTTTGTAGCACGAAGTGGTGTATGGTATTAGCGGTAATTAGCAGACTATGCAGATTGGGGCAGTCTTTCCTTGGAGAGCACACGACCTTCTACTGCAGCTGCAAATGAATACTGCACTTAAGAGTGCCCAGGAAGGCAACTGTGGTGGGACTAACTGTGGTGGAGCAGGATTGCACGATCGCTGTTCCCACTGTCGGTCTTGACGAAAAGCATCTGCACTGCGGTTCAAACCGTCTGGAGGCCTCTGCTCACGCAGGTTCCTTCAGATGACTCCCCTGACACTTGAGTGCTCCACGGTGTA